CCTCTAAAACTAAACATACATTAAGGGAGATGAAGAAGTGATGAAGCCTCCACTTTTCTACTTTTCATCCTCTAAATTGGGAAAGTTGTGGTGGATTCACTCAATTATATATATTTGAAAAATATGAATTAATGTTGACTTTAAAAAATATTGGAGCCATAACCTTTAAACTATATTATTTTGTTTAATTAAACCTCAATCGCTATTTTCACCATTCTCCTTCGGCAAGATTTCAACCCATGAGATTTAATTCTCGCCAACAGCAACAGAGATAGAATTAATAAAGACATTGATTTTTTTTTTTTGAACAGCAAAAGTAATATTTATTTTAAAAAAAGTTAAAGGGGTACCTCAAACCCGTAAACATCCCAACTTAAAAGGCATAGATTACATAGTTGAATATCCCTGCCACTTGGTGTCGACACCAAAACAATGTGTCAACACCACGTCCGTGTCGGGTTCGGATGCTCAGTCCTTCCGTTTGGTATCGACACCAAAATTACGTGTCAACACCAAGTCCGTGTCGAGATTCTGAATGTTAAGGCCTCCCGTTTGGTGTCGACACCAAAATAATGTATCGACACTGTGAGCTCTTCACTTCCTCTTCAACCCACCTTGTATTGACTTCAAGCACAACACCGGGCTTTGTATCCAATATGCACTAGAAAACAGTGATCCAGCCACCCTTCCACTGATCCAAAAGAATGTTCGGATCTGTACAAGGTCAAATAACCTTTCGATAGAGCTTTCTGTTTTTCTAAAAATTTGTTCATTTCTTGCTAACCATATGGTCCATGTGAGGCCAAACCAAATGGTTTCCCAGACCTGCCTAACCCATTTGTTTTTTGAATAGAAGACATGCTGAACAAAAGCCTTCCTACACTCATTATAATTCACACAGCTCAGTCCCCACCATTCTTGACATTTCCACCACAATTTTACTACAAAGGGGCATTCCAAGAACAAGTGGTTGGTATCTTCCAGTGCCGCCCCGCAGAAGCCACACAAGGCTGTTGTATCATCCTTTAAAATGCCCCTTGTCCGCAAATTTGTTTCAGTTGGTATTCTGTTCAGTAGTATCATCCAATTAAAAGCACATACCTTGTTTGGGATGTATTTGTTCCACACTTTTCTGAATAATTTTGTATCATCCCCTCCTTGTTGGTCTCTTAGCAACAAGTATCCCAACTTTGCTGTGTAAATTCCCTCCTTGGTATGCCTCCGACACCATGCATCCTGTTGCCCTCTGTCTAACGTGATATTAAGCATCAAGTTAAAGAGCTCTTGCAACTTTTCTTCTTCCCACCCGCGCATACTCCGTCTCCATGTCAACTTCCATTGCCACATGTTGTTATACCACTCCCCCATCTGCTGGATTTTGTTATCTTTTCCTGTAGACAAGAGAAAAAGTTTGGGGAAACGGGTAGCTAAGTTCACCTCTCCTAACCATACATCTTTCCAAAATCTAATACCCCCTCCATCCCCTAAATGAATGTTGAAGCCCTCTCCTAACCAATTCTCTCTATTTGGTAAAATAAAATTTATTCTACATAAGTCCCTCCACCAATATGAGCCCCCCTTAATCTCACCCCTCACCCATTCCAACCACCTTCCTTCTTCAACCCCGTATTTTGTATTCAGCACTCTTTTCCATAGGCCCCTTTCCTTTCCTGCCATCCTACCCCACCACTTTCCTAATAGAACTATATTGAAAGTTCTAAGGTCCCTAACTCCTAATCCACCTTCTTCCTTAGGTTTGCACACACTATCCCACTTAACCCAACTAATTCCTCCCCCTCCCTCCTTCTTTCCCCAAAGAAAATCCCTCCGTATTTTTTCAAGTTCATTAATCACTCCTTTTGGAACAAAAAAGAAAGACATAAAAAACACCAGTAGGCTGGACAACACAGAGTTAACAAGAGTGATTCTTCCACCAAGGGACAGTAGTTTGCCTTTCCAAGATGCCAATCTGTTCTTAAAACCCTGAATCAATGGCCTCCAAAATGTGAGTCTTCGGTGATTACCCCCAATTGGAATCCCGAGGTATTTAAATGGTAAAGGACCTCTTCTACAGTTAAGACTCCAAGCTGTTTTCTCCACCCATTCTTCTTCCACATTCAATCCATATAGTAGGCTTTTGTCAAAATTTATTTTCAACCCGGAAATAAGTTCAAACACTCTCATAATGCACTTCACTACCCATACATTACTATCCTCTGCCCTCCCAAACATGATCATATCATCGGCAAATTGGAGGTGAGTGATTTCGATTCCTCCATTTCCAATCTTCAATCCTTTCAGCAACCCCTTCTCCTTAGCTGATGAAATGAGGCCATTTAGGCCTTCGGCAATTAGCAGGAATAAAAATGGGGATAGGGGATCTCCTTGCCTCAGTCCTCTTGAGGGTGAAAATTGCTTTGTCGTGCCTCCGTTTACCAATACTGAAATGCTCGCTGAATGCATGCACTCTTTCATCCACTGACACCACACATGGTTAAAACCCATTCTCTTCAGCATGTAGTCCAGAAAAGCCCAACTGACTCTATCATATGCCTTCTCAAAGTCCACTTTAAAGCAAAAGCCTTTTATCTTTTTACTTCTTGCCTCATCCAACACTTCATTTGCCACCATCACGCAATCAACCAGTTATCTGCCTCCCACAAACGCTGATTGCTATTCACCAATTAAATCATCCATCATTGTCTTTAACCTGTTTGCTAGAACTTTAGAAAGCATCTTGTACATCGAGTTTATTAACGAAATGGGTCTGTACTCTTCAATCTTCTGTGGGTTGTCGACTTTAGGAATCAAAGCCAAAAACGAGGCGTTAGCTCCCTTCACAATTCTCCCTGCGTTGTGGAATTCTGAGAAATACCCCATTACATCCTCTTTCAAAGTCTCCCACATTCTCTTCCAGAAACCAAAGTTAAGGCCATCTGGTCCTGGTGCTTTAGAACTTTCACAATCCCAAATAGCAACTCTTATTTCGTCTTCTGTAAATGGAGCTGTGAGAGCCTCACATTGAGCTTGTGAAATTCTTCTAAAGTTCACTCCGTTTAAGGTGGGTCGAACCCAACCTTCCTCAGAGAACAGCTCCTCATAAAACTCCACTACTGCATTTTTTATTCCATTTA